AAATGTTTTTTGTTTGTTTTTTTAGTTTTATTTCCAACTCAATCAGAATTTATTCAGCAGGAGTTTCATTTTTTAGGATTTTTTTTTTTTTTTTTGTACTGGGGATTGAACCTAGGGCTTTGCGCAAGCTCGACAAGTGCTCTGTCACTGAGCTACATCCACAGCCACAGCTCCAGAGTTGTTTCACTTTTTTTTTTTAATATTTATTTTTTAGATGTAGATGGACACAACACAATGCCTTTATTTTTATGTGGTGCTGAGGATCGAACCCAGGTCCCGCCCGGCTAGGCGAGAGCTCTACCACTGAGCCACAATCCCAGCCCCCAATTTTTTTTTTTCTGATATGTGGAAGCTAATCTACAATAAGACAGGTGAGGGTTTAGGATAAAAGTCCAGTGAAGTAGAAAAGGGAAATAAAGAGAAGGGAGGGGGAAAAAGAAAGACAGCAGAATGAATCTGACATAACTTTCCTGGGCATATATGAACATACCACAGGGAATTTCACCAATGTGTCCAAACACAAGAAATTGATTTAAAAAAAAATAATAACTATGGGTAAATAGCAGAAAGATCAGTAGAGGGAAGGGAGCAGGGGATGGGGGAGAGAAGAGGAAGGAGAAGTACCGAGGACTGAATTAGAATAAGATACATTCCATGCTTGTATAATTATGTTGAAATGGATTCTTCTGTCATGTACAGCAAAAAAGAATCAATAAAATAAAATAAAAATAAAAGGCAATTTAATTACCTATATCAACTGTTATACAGTTTGGAAATAATTACTCTTCTAGGGATCTATTTGCAATATAAAATCAGATGTGGATATAAATAGTATAAGATAATTATGTTTACATCATTTATAGAAGCAAGTAAACCAAAATAACATAGGAATGATTTTTAAAATTCTATAATAAACTATTAAATCATGTTTTTAGCCAGATGTGATGCACCCATGACTAGTGAAGCTGAGGCAGGATTCCAAGTTTGAGACCAGTCTCAACAACTTAGTAAGATCCATTTCAAAATAAACAGTAATAGGACTAGGGATATAGATTAGTGATAAAATACCCAATTCCCAGAACTGCAAAAACAATAATTTTAAAAGTGTGTGTAAACCAGCTACAACGGCACACGCCTCTAATCCCAGCTGTTTGGGAGGCTAAGGCAGGAGAATCGCAAATTCAATGACAGCCTCAGCAATTTAGCGAGGCCCTGAGCAACTTACCAAGACCCTGTTTCAAAATTAAAAATAAAAAGGACTAGGGATATGGCTCAGTGGTAAAGTGACCTTGGTTCAAATCCCATGGGGGGACATATGTATATGTTTATAAAGACAAATTAATGAATTAAATATATTAACCATACTACCCTTTGGTCATGGAATCATTGGTACTTTCCCTAATTAACACTCGCGTGCATAGTTCCAAATTTTTTCAGAGAGCATAAATTTATTACTTTATATAAGAAAGTTTTAAAAATCCACCATTTTAAAAGATAACCATTTAAATAGCTATCTACTTTCTTTTATTCATATAAGAACACTGCATATCTGACATGAAAATCCAAAGCATACTTACATGATTTTGATCATTATTGTCCTAGTATGATTAGTAGAATTATTCAAATTTTTGAAATCTGGCAAAACCAGACACAGAACCAAAGTAGAAATGAATTTAGTGAACACAAATAATAAAGTGAGAGTATGAAAAAACAATAAGTCAATCACCTGTTTTGTGACCATCTCTCTATTCACAAGAGTAGAAATATGATGGTAGGTAGAACTACTGGTTTTCATTGAAGAAATTCTTTTTACTTCAATGTTCTGAAACACACAAACATAAAAAGAGAGCTTAGGTTAAAAGCATTAATTTTCACTTAACGCTGGATCCAATGTAAAAACAAACACAAAAACAACTTGCATTTTAATCAGTGCTATAATTTGGGTTTGAATATGGTTTGTCTTCTCTAAAATTTACATTGCAATTTAATCCCCATTATGATATTAAGAGGTGGAATCACCAGGAAGTGATCTCTAAGGAATGCTCTCTTCTAAGGAATGGATAAACCCTTTCAAATCATCAATGAATTTTTTTCAAAATGAATCTGCTATAAAAGTCAGTTTGGTTTCTTGCATACTACCTATCTGGTGCAATATGAGGCCCCAAACATTAACTTGGTATTCTTTTTTTTGCAGGGGAGTGGGGGTGGGGGGGAGGTACTGGGGATTGAACTCAGGGATACTCAACCACTAAGCCACATCCCCAGCCCTATTTTGTATTTTATTAGAGAGAGGGTTTCACTGAGTTGCTTAACGCCTTGCTATTGCTGAGGCTAGCTTTGAACTCACAATCCTCCTGCCTCGGCCTCCTGAGCCGCTGGGATTACAGGCATGTAGCACTGCACTTGGCTTTCAATTTGTGATTCTGCCAGCAAGAAAACCATCAACAGATGCAGTCCTTTCACCATGCACCAGAACCATAGTGCCAAATAAACCTTTCTTTATAATACCCAGTCTGTGGTATTATCTTATTAGCAATAGAAAATGAACTAGTACAATCAGTAAACCTCATTTGACATTAGCTAAAACTCACAATGAAATAAATCACTATTTCCAAAGTTAAATTATTATGAATTTTAACAAAAGTACCAGATCCACTAGTACTTCAAAACATTTTCCAAGTGTCTTTAATATAATCAATATCTTTTACTTCAGTTTAGAAGTTCACTTCAACTTCCAAGTAATTTAGAGACATATTCCATTTTAAAACATCTGAGTAAAAGTGTTTACAAGACTGGTCAAATCAAATTACAAGAACTTAATTCATAGGAACACACACTATTATATCCCATTCCATATCTAATTACAAAAATTCCACTATAGTTTAATGATACATATTAATTTTTGGTCCCGAACCATTAGCTCACATTTAAATATACTTATTCCACAACAAAACAACTCTCAAAAAGATAAATACACTACTTCTTTCACTCCTTTTCTCATATTTCTGCCTTTCTCACCAAAGCAGATTCAATCTATAATTTATTATGAACTGATATCTAATTAAACTAACTAAAGTAACCAGGAATTTCCTAAGTACCTACTATATGTGAAAGAGGTAGGCACAGAAAATGATGTTGAAATGTAAAATAAAATAATGCCTCCTGCCTTGAAGGAGTTCAAAGTAACAGTCCTAATCATTAGAAGTTCTAATCATTTTGTATATAACATAACAAAACGAATGTTCACAAAGAAATAACATTTCTGTTGAGTCTCTTCTTTCTACACAATATACTAGCTATGAAACCACAGCAATGTACTATAACTTCTCTGTCCCTTGGTTTTTTCAAGAAAATTAGGTAGCAAAATACAGAATTAAAATACAAAAAATCATAACTTTCCTAAACACCAATAATGAATTTGCTAAAAAAGACATCAGGAACAATTCCATTTATAGTCTCACAAAAAAAAAGAAACAAAATAGAAAACTAGGGACCAATCTTACCAAGATCATGAAAGATTTCTACAATGAAAATTGTAGAGCACTGAATGAAGAAATTAAAGAAGAAAGACCTCCTTGGTTCATGAATAGGCAGAATTAATATTGTTAAAATGGCTATACTACCAAAAAGCAATCTATAGATTCAATAAATTCTCTATCAATATGCTAATAACTTTCTTCACAGAACTAGAAAAAATAGACTAACATTTGTATATTTTCTCTCATATATGGAAGCTAGAAAGAAAACAGGGGAAAAGCCCGGTGGGGAGGGATCTCATGAAAATAGAAGGGAACTGAGGAAGGGACCACAAGGAAGGAGGAAGGGAGAGAAAAGGGAGGTACTGGGGAACAAAACTAACCAAACTATACTGTTATATTGTGTGCACATGTGAATATGTAACAACGAATCCTATTATATATAATGCACCAACTGTGACAATTGTTGTAGGAATCAAATAATGTATGAAAAAATACTTTTAAAACTATAAAGTGGTAGCACTGACATAAAAAATTCAACACAAGCTCAGAAGGGAAAAAGTATAAGACTGAGAATTAATCAAAGATTTGCTTTTTAACTTGAGATGGGCTAAAAGAGTAATGAAAAAAGGGCACCCACTAAAGGAAGAAGTCCCATGACTACAGATAAAAGGAACTGACTTTCTCCCACACTGGTACACTTTCTCTGAAAGCCATGCAAAAAAGAAAAGTAATATGCTTTTTTTTGGGGGGGGGAGGTGGGTACCAGGGATTGAACTCAAGGGCACTCAGCTACTAAGCCACATCTCCAGCCTTATTTTTATTTTATGTAGGGACAGGGTCTCACTGAGTTGCTTAGCACCTCGCTGTTGCTTAGCCTGGCTTTGAACTTGCAATCCTCCTGTCTCAGCCTCCCAAGCTGCTGGGATTATAGGTATGTACCACAGTACCTGAAGTAATATGCTTTAAAAATATATATGGTATAAGATATCAGAGATATGAGCCCTTATAACATCTCAGGGGTCTCAATACAAACTATTCTTTAGCAATTATATAAAGATTATGGTTGTTTACATTTCAGAATTTAGAGTCTATAATAGTTTAACAGAAAAAAGTGAAAACAGAGAAGGTATATTCATGGAAAGCTAAATATCACAATAGAAAGATCATAAGCTTTACAGAATTAGACAGACCTTGACATAAACTCCGATTCTTTCCCTTAACTATTAAATTACTTTGCTCAGATTATTCAGTCCTTGATCTTCAATGTTCCTCACTTGTGAAACAGAGATAACTTCTACCCTGAGGAGGTACTATAGTGATTAAATGAGATACAAATAAGAAATCCAACTCAACTAAAATCTATAAGTACATGAAAAGAGTCCATTCTTTTCACTATAGAAACAGTTTTCTCATAAGATTTTATTTCACACACACACACATTATTTTCTTGGATTAATTAAGGAAAGACCTTCTATAGTTTGAGAAGATTAAACAGTCCCATTTCCCCAGACTTCTCAGCATTCATATTTGTATTTGTTTGAGTGAACAGAAATACAAATGTACCTATATTCTGTGTATATGACACTGCTCCTTCACAGGGTATACCTCCAGGGTCCCCAGATACTCACTGCACAACCTAAACCCAAATCCTTTCCCTCCCTTCAATACACATATTCATAACCAATTCAAAACATACTCAAAGACACTGTTCTTTCCCAATGCCTTTAGAAGCTTCAGTAATGGATCTCTTTCTAAAATAATGTTTTCTAATTAAATTAAAAATATAATCACCCAGATCTTGGTCTACAAGAAAAATTCATCACTAAAAACAATCTGGGCTCTTTGGAGACTCCAGATGTGGAAACAGGGAGGTCACAGTGAGCCTGGGTCATACCTGGGCTAAAGAACAAAGATGTGCTCAAGAAGCAATGAGAAAATAGAGCCAGCTTGAAGTCTGCTGTTGATAAAAATTTCAGATACTGCAAACATCAGAAGAAAAAGAATAATGACAATAATTGACTAAGACTGAATAAATAAAAATTCACTAATCTACAATTATGGTCACAAAGGGAAGGGAAAAAAAGATTTTCCAGCACTGTGATAAGCACAATAAAACTTTACTCCAAAATTTGGTAAAGGGAAAGACAAATTTACATCTGTATTCTTAAAAGGAGCTCAAGTTCACGCCCATTGATAAGAGAAATATTTCTTTTATGAAATAGAATAAATGCAGGATGACAATACCAGCCAGGTTCCGAAGTGTTACCTCACAGAATACGTGGTAACTGAAAAGGGAAAATTATGCCTTTTAGATAGACATACTTCATAGTCATCACTATAACCTACTGATCAAACTTAGAATCATTAATAGGAAAGCAACCGCCATTCTGTACTGCCTGAAGTGACATCATAAACTACACAACATTACCTATACAGTTCTTGCAAAATATAATCAAGCTTTTAAGCCTACCTCCAGTTTAATGGAAATACAGTGCATAAACCCATGTGGAAATAAGACAAGGGCAGAATATGTGAAACTAGTTTAGTCTCTTCAAAAGTCTAAAACAAATAAGTTAGCAAGAGCTGGGGTAGATAATGCTGTAGATAAGAGAAACAAAAAAAAGCAGAAGCAATGTTATAACCAAGATAGACCCTAATTTTAAAAAGAAAAAGTTATAAGACTAGAGAATTTAGGGCCAATCAAAAAATAGTGATATGGATTGCATATTAAGTGATATTAAGGAATTAATGCTAATTTTCTGAGTGATAATGGTATTGTGATTATATAAGAGAATATCCTTATAAGAAGCATGTTCAAATATTTAGGGTAAAATATCACCCCTGTATTTTACATTAAATGTGCAAATAGTTACACTTATCTACTTAAAACCTGTATATAAAAGGTATTAACTGTACTCTAAACTTCTATGTATTTGAAAAATTTTCATAATAATTTAGAAAAAAGAACAACCACATATTTACGTATAATTCATACCTACCAAAACACTTACACAGATAACATTGTTTGATTTTTATAAATTTTTGATCTTGGCATTTTATGAACATTAGAAATTATAACAAAAGTAATCAAAAGGCATCATGGCTAAAACACTGCTTGTGTTTTTAGCAGCATACATGGTACTGAGGGAGTGGCTGAAACATGACTCTTCCATCTGAACCCTATTGGATCAAATGTTTACATGGCAGATGGTTCATCATAAAAGCATGAAAATAGGGCTGGAGTTTTGGCTCAGCAGTAGAGCACTTGCCTTGCATGTGTGGGGCCCTGGGTTTAATCCTCAGCACCACATAAAAATAAATAAATGAAATAGAGTTATTGTGTTCAACTACAACTAATATATATTTTATATATATATAAAAAATATATATAAAAGATAAACAAATAAGTATAAGCAAGAAAGTAACAAAATTAAAGACCTAAGAGAATACCTTGTACTATGCTGATGACATGCACATAAAATATACTTGAATATACAACTGAATTAGACATCCCTAAATTTCTCTTTTTTTTTCTTCTACTTATATTTTCAGACAAAAATAACTATGTATATCAAAGTAGCTAATTCAATAATCACTATAAGCTAATATAAACAAGGGACGAAATACTTTAAAAAATTAATTTCTTCTTGGCTCAATAAACTTTTTTTAAAAAATGAGTTCCAATCACAAAAGCACACATTTTACTTCCATAAATCTTTTCCATTATCTCATAATCTGAGGAAATTTGAAATACTTATCTGAACCTTAATTTATCCATGAAATGGTGACTATAGTGAGCCAAATCCAAAATGTGGGAACATCTATATGACAATTTATGTTGTTTCTTTTTCATTAAATAAAGCACATTAAAAATAAAAATGATGCCCTTGGGTTCAATTCCTGAAACCAAAAAACAAATAAATAAATAACTGAAAATCCAAATAAAATAAATAAATAAAGAATAAAAAGGTGCTATGCACAGTGGCTTGTGCCTATATTCCAGCTACTCAGGAGGCCAAGGCAGAAGGATTCCAAGTCTGAGGGCAACCTGGGCAGCTCAGTGAGACCTTGCCTCAAAATAAAATCTAAAAAGGATTAGGGATGTAGCTCAGTGATACAGCACTTGCCTAGCAAGTACAAGGCTTTGAATTCAATCTTCAATTACCATTCAAAACATACCAGAACTATTAATAATTTTTTGAAAACCAAAACCATTATAATTTTTCAAATAAACAAAAAACTTTGAGACCATTGAGGAAAACTGAACATACCCTGAACATTACAAAATATTAGGGAAAATAGCAATATTATGTTGTTTTTTAAAAAATAAAGTCCTTATATATCAGAAATACATACTGAAGTGTTTATGGGTGAAATGGTATGTACGGTTATTTTAAAATACTCCAGTTATACTTATGCATTATTTGTACAATTAAGTTTAAACAAATGAAAATTATTTTGAACTCCATTGAGTTTTAACAGCAAAGTATTATCATAACCTAGTTCCCCCCAAAACTCAAAGTAATTCACCTCGAAAAGAGTTGGAGGAGGTGGTGGCCGACTTGTAATTTTAGCAGATCTCTTTTTTTCCACAAGCAAAGCTTCCTTTCGAGCTTTTATATGCCTTAAAAAACAAAAAAAAAAAAGAGAGAGCGAGATCAATTAATTAATCATCAATTAATCTCTAAGGTAATATCTCAGGGTTAAAAATAAAAAAGTCAGAGGATCTCTACAAGTCCTACAGTCTGATACCACAGGCTCAGCATGCTGTTTATACACATTGGATGTGTATGACAACATTTACCAATAAAAGAGGACTATCTAAAAACATAAGCTCCACAGTGTAGACCAACGCAACAAACATTTAATGTTTTTTAGAACAGTTTAGAGTTAAAGCTAGAAATGTTGTATAAAATGACCACTGCTGACCAGTAATAGGTTCCTTCTTACGGCATACAAAAAGTACTAATGACTTTCAGAATCTATAGTCTCTACCACTTTCAAAATTTTTTCTCCCCCTAGTACCATGGATGAAGCCCAGAACATCACACATTAGACAAGCACTCTACCACTACATCTCTAGCCTTCTTTTAACGTTCTTAATTTACACTGATTTTTATTCCTCTTTTACATCAGTCAAATAGATTTTGGTTGATGTGTACATTCTGAACCAGTTATATATTTCTCCAGAAACTTCGCAACCACTACAACACTCAAAATGTTCAGATTACAAATTAGAAGAGAAAGCTCATTCATTATTAAGTTTACCTCAGTAAACCACTGTCCACTGTATCACACTAGTTAGCACCCATTTCTAGCCATACTAGTTTTTGAAAATTAATACATTACCAGGTTTTTTGTTTCGTTAATATTTCTTTTTGGTTTTTCTGTACTTTCAGGGCCTCTTGATGCCTTATGTCTGCTTTTCTTTTCCTTTCTGCTGCCCGACGTGCCAGAGCATCTAAATCAGGTTCCTAAAAGTATGCAATACTTAAAATGTCATGTTAAACAAGATTAGTAGAAATGCAACTGTTTGATTTCAGAATAAAAATGACTTTTTAATTTTGGCATACTTCCTTACACACTACAGCAAAATATTCAGTGGTACCACTGACAATATGCTGTATCAGGAAGGACTAAATATAGAAACAACTGAATTTAAAGCTAACATAAGCATTTAACTTATATTACAAAAAGAGACTATCAAAGTACTAGGACAAGGATTAAATTAAATAATAAAAGAATCCTTTAAAATTAAAATGCCAAGCTGTGGTAACAAAAGTGGTTACTAGCCAGAGCAAAAATCATGAGATGCCACACAAATGACTAAGGTTGGGGGAAAACTGCACTAAAGCACAAAGTTAATGATGGCAAACATAGAGCTACAAAAATATGATCTCTGAACTTAATGCTAAAAACACAGACCAAAACTAGGACCAAAAATCAGACTGCCTGCCACGTTATATAAAGATATTTCTTTTTCTCATTAATCTTTATCAAAGATTTATCTTCTTTGGAACCAGCCTGTTTATTGTAGGACTGATTCTGAAATGGCAAAGTAATATTTTCTAACCACAGACGACAGTAAACAAATCAAAATAAATTTAGGAGGCAGTGTTAAATACTGAATAAGATCTACCTTTCCTTTCTGCAAGTCATCAAAAAATTGTTATTATTTGTGAATGAAATCCAGGGATATGTAATACACCCAACCATACATGTTTAGAGGTATAAGGAATGACATTGAAATTAGAAATCTAAATTTATTCCACTGAATCTGTCCAAAATGCTTGAGATAAACAACTTCTGATTCATAAGGTGATTATTTAATTTATACATGTAAGAAAGAACTGGAAGAAAATACTGCTAATTTAAACATCCCAGAAAGATATATTTTACTTGACCATAACTTATTAGGGGAAAGACAGTACTATTTTCAAATTAAATTAAATTGATTAAAAACAACAACAACAACAACAACAACAAAAAAAAAACAGCAAGCTCAGGCTGCCCAAAACAAATTGTATACGTGAAAATATTTTTATAACCCAAGCATTCAACAAATATAATTCACTTTTAACTGTCATTACTGCCACAATCCGATAGTCAAAGAAGCTCACTCACATTTTCTTTGGCCTGTCGATGTCCCTCTCCCATATTTCTTAAGCTTGCCAAATACAATTTTTCCAAGTTTCGTATTTTCTGAGTTTGTGATTCTTTCCATTCTGTCCTTAGCTCCTCTGCCAAACGAGTAAAGTGCTGATTTCTCCTCTGCTTTACATCTTCTCTTATCTGTAAGGCAATATCCTTTTCTTGTTCTCGAACCTAAAGAATGAACATTTAATGAATTATGTGAAGGAGGCTTATTGAAACTCTTTTGAAAAGCTATCTGGAAATAGGAACTCAAATGAATTCTCTTCAGGCCCATCAATTCTTCTGAAGACTCATCTTAAGTTCTTTGTAGAAGAGAAAATCCTAACAACGTGGAAAAAATAAGAATCAAGACTACTTCAAAGGCCTTTATTTGTATTGTTTTTCTCCCCTACACCTCTAATGGAACTGCTACTATCACTCTAATAACCTATAAAAGGTTAAAATGGTAAGTATGATTTAATGAAATTCACAGCCCAAAGAAGCAGAGATAGAGCCAGATGAGAACTCCATTTCTGTGGTACATCATCACCAATTCTAGACAGAACAGCATGCTTCACAAAGACTTACCTATTCTAGACCTCTAAAAAAGAACAATCTACAATTTCTATTAAATTTGTCTCAAAAACAAATAATTGTTTCAACAAGTCTTCTGGGAAATCACTCTATGTTATGTTCTCATCTGCAGACAATAGATCATTTAAAAATATTTAAAGACCTATTTTCTAATGTTCATTTAATCAAATAATACCTATCTTCCAACTATCCCCAAAATATTTACCATATCACCATATTTTTCAAATGTTTCAAAAATAGTTAATATGAAAGAACCAGGGCTTTTTTTTTTTTTTTCTTTTTTTAACTGCCAGAAGAGGCTCTTAAGTGCAATTAGGACATTCTGATGCAAAATCAAAACAAAACATAAAAACCTAAACACTTTGTAGAGACAAAGAAAGACTTTAAAGCTTTATTCAGAAGAAATCATACCTGTAGCAACCTTAGTTTTCGTCTTCTTTCATAATCTTCCTTCAAAATTAAGGCTTCCTCATTGGGACTCAATCTCAGCTTGCCAGCATTTACCTTTCTTTTCATTTCTGTATACTTCAAATGTAAAGGATCTGAAGTTTTTAAAAAGAAAAATGTCTATAAGGATATATGCCATTGAAATAGAGCAGCAAGGATTAAAATAATTTTAAAAATTCATATTTATAGAGGGCTGTATATAGGCAAATAAAATAAATTTTCCAACTTGTTTGCAAAGAGCAATTATAAACCCAGCACTTAGATCAGTGCTTCTCAGAGGTGAGGGAAAAGACCTGACTTGTCCTTGATGAATATTTTCCAGAGTTTACTTAGTTTAAATGTAAAATAGAAGAAGATTTAAAAAGATGTGTTGGCAGAGAACAAATGTTTCCATAATATAGTTTAATACTTTAGAACTCTTGACAACCTGTTGAAAACAGTGAGACTGGTATACCATAGTAAAGGGCTGCTGGTCACTTGATTCAGCTCCCAGTTTCTTGTTTATCTCAATTACAAAGCATCACTGTATCTGATGGGATCACATCAATTCCATGGGCCATACAATCCGATAAACAATTCATCAATAATACAATGGTGTGGTTTTTAAATGGATGACTATTTTTAAAAATCCTTTCTAGAATAATTGAATGTGTCAGTGTTTCTATTTCCGGGTGTATTTTCTTTTAATATCTATCTTATTTATTTATTTTAGTTGTTGATGGACCTTTATTTTTTATTTCTATGCTGTGCTAAGAATCAAACCCAGTGCCTCGCACATTCCAGGCAAGCACTCTACCACAAAACCACAAACCCAACCCCATTTCCTGGTATATTCTTCTAAAACTATTTTTATACTCAGGTAGGTAATCTCCCACTCTTCCCCAGTTTTTAATATACCTCTATATGGATAAAATGGATGGGGGGGGAGTTAAGAATCTGTAGACTGTAGAATCTGAAAACCCTTAAGTAATTCTGATATCAACTTGTTCATGTTACTACCACTTCGAAAAATTATACACTTAACCTCAATGCAAAACCATGTTTTCATCTGAGACACGTCAACACTTCTCAACTCTCTTCACAATAATCAGGGAGGTAAACTGTATTAATAGATAGAACATCTTTCTAAAGCTGGCATAAGACTAGCTTCCTTCATGAAGCTGCCCTCTAATAATTCCTGCTCCACTCATTCACTCACCCCTAACTTGCCCAATGGTAATATATATTTTCTATACATTTATATGGGACTGAATTCTATATTGTTTAGGTATGACCTACTCCAGTTTTCTGTTAATTACAGTCTGCCACTTTATGGATCAAGATTCCTAACAATTGAAGGATGGTGTTATGATCTAAAATATGCTAATATTCAAATAAATATGAAAAATAAAAACTATTTCCTGTGCTATGAATGATAGTCTTCTCAATCAGGTGCAAACAGAATAGAGGCTGGCAAACTATGGGTTTAATACTTTTTCTGTGAATTCTCCATCAGAATGTAAACTCAGTGAAGACATATAGTATTATTTACTGTTTCATATCCATAGTCTAAAAACAGTGTCTTGAACCTACATAGGTACTTCAGTAAGTATATTGACTGAATGACATTCAGCGAATTAATTCATGTAAAGTACTACATAAATACAGTCAATTAGGATCTTTCACAGGATTCTTGCACCTAAAAATTTTTTCCAATGCATCTTAGTGATTTGATACTCCCAAGTGTTTAGTAATGATGAAATGCTAACTATCTCATCTTATACATGTTTTAATCAGCTTTCTCCCTGCTGTGACTGAAAGACCCAATCAGAAAAACTATAGAGGAGGAAAGGTTTACTTCAGGATTCAGGGGTTCAGTTCATAAGTGGCTGGCTCCATTACTCGGGGATCTAGGTGAGGCAGTACATCATGGTGGAACAGCATGGCAGAGGGAAGCAGCTCTCTTGAGAGACATGACTCTGCAGATACAAAATATGTACCTCATAGCCATGCCCCTCAATGAACCACTTCCTCATACCTCACCACCTCCAGCCAACACCCAGTTAATCCCATCAGGGATTAATTATCTGATTAGGTTAATATTATAGTCCAATCATTTCTCCTCCAAACCTTCTTGCATTATCTCACACATGAGCTTTTGAGTGACACCACATCTAAACCATAACAATACCCAAAGAAATAAAGGTCTCTGGGTTAAAGGACTTGCCTAAGTGACAATATCTAGTGGCAAAGCTAAGAAAATCTGGTTTCCTTATTCCATTTGGCTTCTTGACTTTCTGATATGTGGACTGAAGAAGGTTTTATTTAAGTTGTTGTTTTTTATGAGGGAGGATGAAGAATAAGAAGTATGGGGAAAAAAATGAGTAAGACTAAATTTAGTCTTCCACATGTGTCTTTTTTAATTTATCTGAAAAATTCACTCATATTCAAACTATTATAATTAATTATTGGTAAATCTCAAAATATGACTGGATGGAGAAAAAGAAAAAGAAAGTGTGTGTGTGTGTGTGTGTGTGTATAAAAATAATTTTAAAATGTCACTGAATGGAAAAAAAAAAGCCAGATACAAAAAAGAGCATATAATAAAATTCCATTCATATTAAGTTCAAAAACAATGAATTCAAGGCAAATCCATAAGGACAGAGGTTAAAACAGGGATTACCTTTGTGGAAATTAATGACTCCAAGTGGGACACAAAGGAGCCTGCCTGTAGTACTCTATATTTTGATGTGTATGATGGTTAAACAGGTATACAAATATGTAAAAATTCCTCAAATGGAATGCTTAGATCTGGGTATTTTATTCTGAATTACACTCTAATATAAAAGGATAAAACTAATTTTTCATATTCTTTTTGAGTATTCATCATCATTTGTCAGAGGATTACAGTTATTTTTATCTAATCACTTTTTTCATGAATAATTTAAAACTGTTAAAATTTATTTGAAAATAATTTTAATTACCATACACCTTTCCTCAGTTTCTACAAATGTCAATATCTTACATAACCACAACACAATGACCAAAATCAGATAATGAACACTGGCCCAATACTTTTAACTAACCTACAGACCTTATTCAAATTTTGTCAATTATCCTACTACCGTCTACTTTCTGGATCAGGATCCAATCTTAGGCATTTGGTGTTGTGTATCTGGATGCTCCAGAAAGCAGAAGACAAGATGGGATTAAATTTAGGGGAGATGCCTCTGGGAGAGAAAACAGGGAAGGAGCTGGAAAAGGCTAGAAGCACTCAGACTACAATGAAAATCTGACACTGAGTGAAGGAGAGGGGATGCTAAGGCAGGCTCAGAGACCTCTGTGGAGTTTTCTCAGCAATAGACCTCTCTTAGGTCTATTGACACTGCCATTGACACTGGCTGGGAGCATGGCCTCCATGTAAATAGAGTTTAGAATGCAAGAAATGAATGTCTGTGGGTTACTTTCTCATGATTGCCAGGTATCCTCTAATATGGGACACAGTTCCTTACTCTTTTCAAAACCCCAATATTTAAAAAAAAAAAAAAAGAACACCAGCCGGTTTTTTAGTTCAGCATCCTCAATTTAAATTCATCTAATCTTTACTTGTGACTAGGCAGAGGTTGTGCATTTCTGGCAAAAACACTACATAATTAAGTTCATCCTGACCTATCAGGATGATATGTCTTACTACTTGTGATGCAATTTTGACCACTTGGTTAAGATGGTACCTATCACATGGTGCCTCCACTATATTTTTTATATTTCGTATAAGTGTCTGATATAGTAGAGGTTATATATAAAAAAAATGTTTTTCACCATACTTCTGCCTACTTACTTTAATAGCCATTGACAATTACTGTCCGAATCAATTACTATAGTGTTTAACAATAAATGTTATTTTCTATTTACATTTTTCCTTCTATGCCTACCAAATGGAATTCTACTTTGGACGTTTTCCCTGTGCTGCCCTATTTCTACTTGTCTTGTAAGATCTCAGACTGAGAATAAAACGGTACTTGGCACTTGGTAAACACAAAATATTAGACTTTCACGACGCGGGTTCAAGATCCACCGCTGCCACTTATTAGAAGACGACACAGGACAAATCACTTAAATCATTTTGGTCTCATTTTCTTAAATTGTTTAAGGGAAGTAATATCTTCCCCAACAGGTTGTTCTAGTAATTATGTGACTAACTCAATGCGAAGCCTCCAAATACATTTTGTATTAAAGACTCAAAACTGTCATTGTTTAAGTTGACTCTGTGACAGAATACCAGAGAAATTTAAGGGTGGCAGACCGCAAAAGAGATCTGCTCTGCAGAAGACGACTCCAAACAGCTACCAGGATTCAGACCACATCCACAAGTGATTTGCAGGAAGTGGCAGCAGCAAACACCCCCAGCCTCCCACCCCGCGGCGTGGAAGCTCAGGGGCGGGGGAGGCAGCAGGGGAACCCCTTGAGAACCCGCCCCGGGAAGGCGCGCAACGCCACTCGTGCAACAGGGCCGGGAGCAGCCCGGGCCGCACGCGTCTCCTATCCCGTGCGCTCAGTACAGCCGCAGCCCGACGGCAGCCGAGGCCCGCTGACTGCCGACACCTGAGATCCGCGGGCCGGGCTGCAATCGGGGACTTCCTTCCTTGGGTGCACACCCCCAGCGTCTGGGCTTCCGGGCGTCGTGCATACCCAGGGCGGCGGGGAGACAGGTACAAACCCTCACTCACCTGTGAACCGGGAGCCCGAAGCCTGCAGCCCCGGCTCAGAAGAAGCCGACTCCAACAGCGGCGGCCGACCAGCTTCCCAACAGCCGTTTGTGCGCCTGCGGAGCGGCCATCGCCAAGCCCTCGTCACTTCCGTCATTCAAACCGCCCGCCAATGGCGGGACCAAACCGCGGAATCCCGCCCGCTTCTGCCCCTGTTGGGGCCGCCGAAAGGCCGCGCCTGTTGGAGCCCCGCGCAGGCGCGCCAGCAGGCGCGCCTGCACGCGCGGCCCTACGTAGAGGCCTATTATTTCTCAGACCTACTAGGACTTGAGGGCTTACTTTCCTTCTCAGCGCTCGCTCCTTTCACAGGTCCCGAAACGGAAGTCCCGAAGGGGAAGCTATTTGCCCAGAGCTATGGGAGTGACTTTGGTGTTAAGATTCCATCTTGAAGGTGGGCTATCTGGACAAAGGGATGAATTCCAGAAATATTTAGGAAACAAAATTAACAGTACTGGACAAACGATTACATGTGGGATTGAGGGACAGTGAAGTTACTCTCACAGGCCACTAGCTTGTGTAGCATTGTTGATTACTGATTGTCAAGGAAGCAATCAGAAATGGTAGTTAAGTGGACACGATAATGAGCTCAGGTCTGTACATTTTGGAATTCATGTGCCTTTGGAACATCTAACAATGTAAAGTAGATAAATGCGTTCAGAGAGCGTCTACAGAAATAACTGGTTTAAGCATATACGGGTTTTTTTGTGTGTGTGTGAGTAAAACCAAAAGCTAGAGGAGTGGATGGAGCGGATCACTTCAGAAGAATCTGCAGCATGAGAGGCATTGACCTAAGAACCAAACTAAAGAATACCAAACTTAAAGACAGGAATTGAAGGGAGGAACTCTCAAATACACAAAGAAGAAATAGTGTGATCCCATCTCAGATTTATTGACTAGGAAGCTGAGAGTTTCAATGACTCGGCCAAAAGAACATATACGTAAAGAGTGGAACTAGGACTAGAATTCATGTTTCTTCCCAAATACTTGGGTTTTTCGTCCCTGCCCTCCATCTGTCACATTTATCTTGATGAATAATTATATTGATTCAGACTTACCCTTCCACACCCTAGAAGATGTGCCTATTATTTCATGTTTTGGCTAGGTTTAGTGCAGGGCCATGATTTCCAAAAGCACTCTGCAGTTTCCCCATCAGGGTATTTGTGAGTTCCTATTGAAATCAGCTGTTAAGAGGCTCTCCAATGAGTAAACTTTGAGTCCCTTGAGAACTGTGAGTGGATTTTGTTCAGGTGCCTGGCATATAGACCTTCTCCAATGTTTGTCGACCAGCTGATGAATGAACAAATTATATGCTCTACATCCCTGCTGGCATCCTGGGAAGAAATTCCACAAATGGAGATATGAATGGAGACTTGTTCTGTTTTAAATAGGAGGCAATGAGGAATCAATGGCCAGTGGGCTTAGAGTCAGAATGTCTGGCTTAGCATCATAACCCATACTTTCTAGCAGTGGGACCTTAAACGAATGACTCTTATTTTCTGTTTTGGTTCTCTTCTCCTCCCCTGACCCCTTTTCCTCCTTTTCTTTTTCTTTTTGTTTGTTTGATGCCCACTGAGCTCCATCCCCAGCCCTTATTAAATTTTGAGACAGGTTCTTGCTAAATTGCTGAGAGTCTCAAATTTGCTATCCTTCTGCCTCAGCCTCCTGAGTTGCTGGGATTACAGGCATGGACCACCATGCTCTGCATCTGTTTGGGTTGTTTATTGCTGCAACCAAACTACCCTGGAATGTCCAAAATGATTCACTCATGTCAGATGACCGTTGACATTGGCTATTACCTGAGAACTCAGCTGGAACTAGTGTGTGTGTGTGTGTGTGTGTGTGTGTGTGTGTGTAGTTGTAGATAAATACAATATCTTTATTTTATTTATTTTTGTGAGGGGCTGAGGATCGAATCCAGTGCCTCACATGGGCTAGGCAAGCACTCTACCACTGGGCTACAACCCCAGCCTTTAGCTAGAACTCTTGACCAGAGCATCTATGTGTGCCCTCTCCATTGGATTGAACAACTCACTGTCTAGTGGTTTGGTTTCCAGAGGGAGTATGCTAAGATTGGGCATTCTCAAAGAAAGTAGAAGCTACAAATGCTTCTGAAGGTGATGCTGAGGAGAAGTTGTAATAAGTTCTGTCACATTTTATTTGCTAAGTATCATAGGGCCAGCCCAGATTCAAGTGAAGGGGAAATGAACTCCATCTCTTAATGGAAATAGTGACAAAGATCTTGTGGTTATTTTAACCCACCACTGTTCTCTTAGTAATACTTGAATTGCCCTCTTCATTGGGTAGTTTTGTGACTCAAAAAGCAAGAAACATATGAGAACATTTTGCAGACTCTACAGGGCTATACATGTGTTAGGTAAGCAGCTATTTTATATATATATATATATATATATATATATATATTTATTTATTTATTTATTTATTTCCATCCAGCATCTTTCTCTCCTCCTCTGGTACAGATCTAGCCCTTTAGGCATGTGACACAGACTGGAAAAATTGCAATTCTCTGTTTGTCTTGATATTGTGACTGATCTAAGGATGGGTATATGACCTAAAGTGGGTAAACAGAATCATAGGAATTGTTTCTGGAACCAGCAGAAATGAATATATTCTTCTTGGGCTTATATTAATATATGAAACTAGAGCTTCTCAATATGGTTTGACTATGAGTTCTCCCCAAAGCTCCTGTTTAATTCAGAAATGTTTGGAGATGAAATTAAGAGATTATGAGAGTTGTAATTGAATCAGTGGATAAATCCATTTGGTGGATTAATAATTTGAAAGGAGTACTGTTTTGGGTGGTAACTATAGGCAAGTAGAACATGGCTGGAAGAGGT